ACACACACACACACACACACAATTTGTTTAACGATTCATGTGTTGATGAATATTTGGATTGTTTCCATCTTTTGGCTATTGTGAATGATGCTGCTATGAGTATTTGTGTACAAGTATTTGTTTGAGTGCCAGTTTTCAATTCTCTTGGGTACACAGCTAGGAGTGGAATTGCTGGGTCTTATGATAATTCTTTTGAGGAATCACTAAACTGTTTTCCACAGCAGCTATGCCATTTTGCATTCCCATCAGGAGTGTATGAGGGTTTCATTGTCTCCACATCCTTGCCAACTTTCTGTTTGATTATAGTCATCACAGTGGTTGTGTAGTGTTTACACATTGTGGTTAGATTTGCATTTTCCTAATGACTCATGATGTTGAGCATCTTTTCATGTGCTTCTTGGCCATTTGTATATCTTCTTAGGAGAAATGTCAATTTAAGTCTTTTGCCCAATTTTAATTGAGTTGTTTATCTTTTTTGTTGAGTTGTAAGAGTCTTTTATATATTCTGAGTTCTAGTCCCCATCATTTCATCTTTTAACTTCCTGTTATGTCCTACGCTTAAAGCCACTGCTAATGAGTGGAGGCTAACTATAGATTATAGAGAGTTAAGAAAATTATTCCTTTCATTAGAGCACCTCTACTGGATATCATCACCTTAATGAATGACCTTTGAAACAACATGGGTAAATGGCTTGGCTATATGGACTTAGCTAAAATATTCTACTCAGCAAAAATTTTGCAGGAGAATCAATCACAATTTGCCCTCACCTTTGCTTGGTTGTTGCTATGAACTGAATTGTACCCCATCTCCTAAATTTATATGCTGAAGCCTTAATCCCTAATGCGATGGTATTTGGAGATTGGGTCTTCGGGAGGTAATTACATTTGGATGGGGTCGTAAGGGTGTGTATTACTTAGTTTGGGCTGCTGTAACAAATTACCATAGACTAGGTGGCTTCTAAACAACAGAAATGCATTCCTCACAGTTCTAAAAGTTGGAAGTCTGAGATCATGGTGCCAGCATGGTCAGGCTCTGGTGAGGGCCCTCTTCTCTATTGCAGACTATCAACTTCTCATTTAATCCTCACATGGCAGAGAGCAGAGGTAATCAAGCTCTCCTGGAACTCTTATGGATCCTAATCCCCTTCTGATCCTCATACATTCCTAATTATCTCCCAAAGGCTCCACCTCCTAATACCATCATATTGGGTTTCAACATAATAATTTTGGGGTGCACAAACATTCAGTACATTCCACCCCCAGCCTCCCAAAATTCATGTTCTTATCACAGTGAAATTACAGTAGGCCTTTGAACAACAGGTTTGAACTTTATAGGTTTACCTCTAAGTGGGTTTTTTAAAAATAACTATAGTGAAAAAGTATTTTG